TTTCCTCATTTCCTTGCCATCACCGTTTCATTACTCTGAATAGTTCGAATTTTGTGACTCGCCTCGCGGGCGAAGTTTAGTTGCGGAAACGAAATCTCGGCAAAGTATATCATCAACAAGCGACTAATTCTATTCCTCTCTCAGCCTTTGAGAATTAAGAAATCTAAGACAGAGGTGGAGGAAGGATCTACCAGAATGTTTGTTTGTTAATATTCACCCATAGATTGGCCAATAATTACAAACTATGTTATAGCTACTCACAAGGCTGACACTGGCTTGTTGAAGGAGTTGAGAGTCTTCATCAAAATTAGGAAGCGTTGATAAACCCTTGAAACAGAAACACGAACAAACACAAACACGTTTTAGTGGAATAAGAGGGCATATGAGTAAAGGAAGGGATCCATCAGTCAGCAGTTTGGAAATGACAATACTCACGAAAACACTCCTAGGATGAAGAAGACCCAACTGCACAAAGGCTGTTTGTTTTCTAAGTTGACTGTTGTTGGTGGACGACACTTCAGTGACGGGGAACTGTTGATATAAAAGAAACAAAGCGAAAATGTCATAAACAAGATAACAGACATAGCTGCCTTTGAATTCGTTTAAACATGTGCTCATTAGAATTGGGAAATGACATTTTTTCAGTCTCTAGTTTCTCTCTTAATCTGCAAACATCATTTCAAAAAACGTGCGCCTGCATGGAGTCATGGAGTCTTTTTCATACCACAGGTGGAAGGGATTTTGTGCGACGTCCTTCCACATGGTATCTTGAAAAAGCTGGTGATAAGAAAAAAAACCAAATTACTACACTAAAAATCAATTTTTCTTTAAGCTTGTCATCTCTCTCACATCACTGCTTTAGACTCTTGCTTGGTGTGCGACTGTGACCTGACTTAAAACAAAACAAAACTCAAGCAGAAGTTATATCTGGCTGATCGCACTAAAATCTTTTTCAAGCGGACACCATACAAAGCCCTGTACTATCATGCCGTTCTAAAATGAGAAATAGGCATGAACGGGTTCAAGAGGAGATTGAGCAGTAGAAGTAGCAAGGCTCAGATGCAGGGAATAGGGAAACCTGAAGAGAGCGAGCGAACAGCCTAAAGACAGAAGAAGAGCAGCCTGGAGACAGGGAGGAAGCATCTTGGGGAGAGAAAGGGAGCAGCCTAAGGTATAAAGAGCAAGCAGCAGCGGGGAAAGAAAAAGCAGTCTGGAGACGGAGAGGGGAAGCCTAAAGACATAGAAAGAGAAGTCTAGACAAATAGGAGACAGAGGGAGGATCCTGGAGATAGAGAGGAGGCAGCACCATCTCCCCCTCCCCCCTCCCAAGGGGAAAGAACGAGCAGTCTGGAGACAGAGGGGGGAACCCTGGAGATAGAGTGGAGGCAGCACTATCTTCCCCTCCTAAGAAGAGAAGGGAACAATGATGATGACTGTAAGAGGTAGCATGAAATTTTGCCTCATATCTCTCACCGTTCCACCCACCTAGTTTGTTCATGTTCTTTGGCATTCTTCTTAATCTGGAAGCGGAGTAATTAGTTTTCCTGTG